TTTGTCTGTTTCTTTGTATTTTAAATATTTTATAAAAATGTAGACACTTACATCTTTTAAACCCATAATTTTTTAGAAAATCCTTTATCCTAAACTTATCCTTATTTTCCAAATCTTCAAAAGAAAGCCTGCTGCTGGCAGCACTGACCAGCAATGGACTTCGGACAGACTCTCCTCCATCGTGGAGAAGGCTTTTGTATTTGGTTTATTTGTCTGGTTTTTTGTGTACAGGTTTTCTTTTATTCATTATTATTTCTTTTTTTTTACCAGCGTCATCGTCACACACACAAACACACTGAGTGTGCTACCGTGCTACGCTTTATGGAAGCTACACTGGGCGAAAATGATTAGAGGGTTTTCCATTGTTCAATGCGCACGCGCGCCTTTACCGAAATTCGTTTGAATTATTTTCGAATCAAATCGAATAATAAAGAAATCTGGCAGCCAGTGAATGTGTGTGTGTGCCTGGCGGTGTGTGTGTGTGTGTGCAAAAATAAATAAATAAGAAAAGCTTTGAGTGCTTTGGGGCATTTATTATGGAGCTGTCCCAGTCGCTGCTGCCCCTCAGTGGTCGCTGCTGTCGATTTATTATTTTTGCTTCTTTTCTTTTTTTTTTGTTTTTTATCTCCGAAAATAAACAAAACTTCAGGGCACATTCAACGCGCCGGCTGTGTCGCACTTTTCGGCTGCTGCCGTTTTAAAATACCCTAAAAAGGGGGTATTTCAGGCCAAAGAAGAGCAGGATTTTGAAAGGTAAAAAAATTGTATTTAAATAAATTCCTATGAAAAAATAAATGGTTTGTATCTTTTAGTAGTAAAAATATAAAGAAATACTCAATATTTTTTATCGATAACAGAGCGATAACACTATTTCCGGCGGAAGAGAAGTGTGAGTCCTATCGAAGAGCAAACTAATTTAAGTAAAAAAGTAATCAATTCATAATTTATTATTAATAATTAATTATTATTAGATTTTCACTTACCTAGGGAACTTCCTAGGTCGGTGTTAACCTTTTCCAAATTTTTGTTGGCTTATTTATTTATTTATTTTGATTTTTTTTTATATGCTGCATTTTCAAACGCGCCTCGTTAGCAAGATCTCGCGCCGGCCACGGGCCAAAGTCTCAACTGGGTCTGGGTCTCCGGTCTTTTGGTTTTCGGATTGGGATTGGGATTGAGGCTCAGACTGGGTCCAGGTCTTTGGCATTCTTGGTGCGGCCACATGCATATTTGATATCTTATTAACACCCCACAGCTCACAGCTGAAAAAAAAGGTAAAGCGCACACAGAATCCAAACAGAAAATATAAAAAATAAAGAAAAACATGTCGATGTCATCTCTCTCTACTTGGAATAGTTGGAAGATGGAAGAAAATCCATTTCAAAAATTCCTAAATGATTTAAATCAAAGGATATTTTGATGAGAAATTTATTATGATCAATAATTAAGGCTTAATTTTATAAATAAAATTATTTCAATTTATTATTTTAAATTCAGAAGAAATCTAGAGAGATTCTAAGGCAGTTTCAGAATTTATGATGTACGAATTTAACAATATCACATGGATATTAGAAAAGTAAATGTATTGAATATTGCGTAATTAAAGTCATTAAGAAATTATAGCATATATCAACTATTATAATTTATAATTCCCCCAGCCCGGAGTAACTTTCTCCAGCACTTAAGCCTTAAGATTTTCCAGCGGAACAGGGAACTTGAGCATAATCCGCTTGGGCTGCCAACTCAACCATCATCTCATCATCATCAGCATCTCCATTTCCATCACTGGAACCCAGCATTAAATACAATATTTTTTCTCATTTTTTTGTATTTTCTGGTTTGTATACGTTTTTCCTTAAGTTTTTTGTACACGTCCCCGGGCCAAAGAGCTTAAAAAAAGGCCAAACAACCAGAAGAACCAAAACAAACTGTATCTCTGTGGCAGTCGCTAACAATTTGTGCAAACATCGGGAACATTTCAGGGGAGGATGGGGCCATGCTGATGGCGATGGCGATGGCGACTGTGGATGTGTGTGCACAAAACCGATGACGACGGACGGATCTCTGGCCAGCCAGGGGAAATGCCAACAGAAACCGCATACCGTCTACAATTATTTGCCCAGAGATTACTTTGCTTAAATACGATTTGTATATGTATGTGTGTTTGGGCATATATCTCTCTCTCTCCACTCAGCTAGATGTGTTCGTTCTTTAGATTCTGAATTCCCCACCATTATCTGGCATGACCTTGTGAAGGATGTGACCAAGAATGCGAGCCACGACCAAAAACAAGAAGAGAAAAAAGCGATAAAGATGCGAATTTATGACCAAGCCGAAGTTTTTATACACTTTCTGAAGGAATTTCTTACAATATATGGAAAGTTTGAAGGTGTTTAAGTCTTGTATATAAGTCTTGAATATCTGATTTTAATTAAAAGTTATAAACGAGGTTAATAGAACTCTTTGAGGAGATAATAACTTAAGTTTTAAAGAAGAAAATAGGATCTATAGCTTGGCTTTATTTTCCTTAATTTTTAAAAGCCATCATTAATCCTGTCTTGGTTATAGTTTCCCCTAAAAAAGGGTATTAAATAAAGCCAAAGAAACCAGCTAAGAAGAAACCTCACGTCAGCCAAATAAAGCAAACACACAACTCGAGAGTCAGTCAAGAAAGTGGAGGCTGAAGATGAAGCTGGAGAATGGAGCTGGATTTCCATTGGGCTTTACGGGGTATTCCGTGGTCATGTTCCCGGGGGGGAGAGAGAAAGAGAGGAGCTCTTAAGAATGGGCGAAGCAGCATTGAAAAAGAAAGCCAGCGAAACGGCTTAAAAGCCAACTCAAGAGTCGCATCTTGAGAGCGCCGTTTCCGCTCAAACCTCCCGTCAAGATCATTATTATGGCAATGATCACGATCATCGTCCAGCAGCAGCAGCAGCAGGCAGATCTACACAAGACGGCAGCCGCATAAACTGCCAACGCCATTTAAGTCATAATTTAAGCCACATTCCAGACGCGATCCTTCAGAGATTGCATTGCGTGCCCGTGCCCGTTCTCGTGAAAGAAACCGAAAGATACATTCATAAATTCGCATCCGAGCAGCCGAGGATCGTTGCTTTTTGTGGCGTGATTGTGGCGTATTTCTTATGCTACCTTTGGCTTTTCAATTTGCCTTTTGGCCAAATTACACTAGGCAGCAAATTAATGATTTTATTTAATTTGTTCTCTTACCTCGATTCGCTTGAGTTTAGGAGTGTAGAATACCGATCGATGACTGGCTGTCGCCGCATATTATTTGGCGCATTAACAAGTCTCAAATTTCGCCTGGCGTTGAGTTATGAGTCTCCCTGCTCCTGCCTGCCTGCTTGCCCCTTTGGAGTTTTCTCCCTCCTACCGGCGGAGTTCTCCAGACATCTCGTCATTCCCACGCATCTGGGCACGTACGAGCCTCTCAAGTGGAGTAGGAGTAGCCCGAGTTGGAGATGGAGTTGCCAGCGGAGCTGGAGTTGGTTGGAGGAGGACAAAACACCACTAACAGGGAAGCTGGGCACTGAAGGAAATTATTAAAAATTTGTACAATTTTGTGAAGTATATTCTCGAAAAAATAATAAGTAAGTATTTCATTTTTGTTTTATTTCTCCCAGTGTAGGAAACAACTGTCAGTCTGAGGTTCAGACCCCGATTCGGGGCGCAAATCGGGCCTCATGCCTGTGTTACAAGTGTCAGCCCACAATGAGTATGGGTACGGAGTATGAGTTTGAGTTTGAATGCGAGTCCCTGATGCGGATAAAGTGGAGGAAGGAGGAAACATCCGTTAAGCGTTCGTTAAGTGTGCGCATGCGTGGAGCGCAGCGCTCTTTTGTCGATTCCACCGAACCAGCGATCGGATCGAGTCGGTGTTCCTGGGAGCGTATGTAGCATATGCCGGGGCATATCCTGGAGGGCTTATGAGGCGGGCACTTGAACGGAGCCGAACAGGAAACATGCCTAGTTACCAGAGTGGGCGACGACCACGACGAAGACAAGTGCCTCCATCTCTTCTTTCCCTGTAATTAATTAAAGAACCGTCATCCGATGTAGGCGTCGTTTTTGGCTACCTCCTCCTCCTCTGCATCGCTGGCCTGCTCCCTCGATAGGCATATAAAGCTTAATTAAAGCAAATTAAAGTGATTGCCATTTAGTTTGAGGTTAATTGCATTAAATGCGAAACTAAAAGTCGAGCACGCATCTCCTCCTGCTGCTTTTTCTTCTCCTCCTCCAAGGCAGATGCCCTTTCCCTTGTGACTCTGATCTTGAGGGTCTGGCGATGGGGAGTAGTCTCCCCAGTCTGCTGCTCCATTTGCGAATTGTGTCGTGAGACTCGTCGCAACTTTGACCCCCTTCAATGGGTAAAGTGATTCAATATTGCACGCATCGGTGGGGTATAGAAAACTCTTGGGAAAATCAAAGATAACAAGGATTTACAGGAATTTTTTCAAGTTATATGTCTCTATAATATTAACAATATTTGGTTTTTAGAATTCTTAAACCTAGAGTAATATTCCCCGATGCATTTAAGTTCGAATATTGCAATTTCAATTGCCTTGGAGAGCCGGCAAACACTTGGCCCCAAATCTAATTGCAGTTTGCATGTTTGCCGGCACTTTGGATCGGATGGTTCCCTCTTCTCATTCTCCGGGATCCCCACTTTTGGAACTTATGCACATCTTGTCGGCACATAAATTCTCATTACAACTAGAAACGATGACGATGACAACGGCCTGGCCTATGGCACTGAACTTTTGTGCTTAATTTTTTCGATATGCAATAAATTGAGAATGGCCAATGGGGATGGTAGGCATGGTATGGGGTAATGGGTAATGGGGCTGTCAGCATTTGGGGTTCGAGGTAGTTGCATTGACCTATGGAGTGTCTAGTAAATATGTATTAACATTTCGTTACATAAGTTCAAGATAATTTGACTTCTATCCAAGCAGACTTTTGCCAACATTCCTATTTTTATATTTCCAATGAAAAATTGGGCTATTCTACATTTTCAGGCACATTTTCCTCCATTTTATTTTAAGAAATTTTCATTAAGAATTAATTGAATTAATACATAATCTAAAGCTGCTTACATAAAGTATTATATTATATTAGATGCCCTGGTCAGTGGACAGCTTTCGAGGGCTGTGGATAAAGTCAAACAGGATGGAGAGAAGGAAGTCCAAGCGGCATCACTGCTCCGCTGGGCCGGATGAGCATTAATTGCGTTGATTGTCATCGCTGCTTGCTGCTTGTTGATGTTGCAGCAGTTGTTGCTGTTGCTGCTGCAAAAGCTGCGGGCTGCGAATCCCCAGCGCGAGTGCGAGTGCGAATGCAGTCGGTTCATTGGACTGGCGCAGTCAACTTGCAACTTGCAACGTCAGTCGCATGCGCCGATGTCTAGGTAAAAGTTCTATGCTGCTGTTGCTTTTGGTTTTGCTTTTGCTTTTGCTGTTGCTTTTTTAGACACAATTTCCGGGTCATTGACTTGAAGCATTTCTTCATTGAATTGCGTATGGGGATTGCAACTGTGTGTGTGTGTGTGAGTGTGTGCTGGTTCCTGTGTGTGCAGCAACACGATCAATAAACGAGACAAGCCAACAACAACAACACCAACATTTACACCAACAAAAGCAACAATCAGAAAAAAAGCACCAACAACAACTTCTTCCAACAACAACAACAACAACATTCACGCACAGCGACAACGACCAGTTAGAAGAAATACGATAAAAAAAAAAGAAAACAAAGTCGAACCAAAGAACTTTTATACGACCAGAGAGTTCTTCCACAAAGTACAGTGTAGACTCTAAGGAGAAAGCAAGTTGTATATTACAAAAATTTATAGGCGGAAAAAGAAGTTGGGAATTCTAGGCACACTTTTGCTGAAGAAGGAAAGAGAAATTTAATTATTTTATGATCCTAAAGAAAAACATAAACTTATTAGTTTAGATTTTTATATAGTTTCTGAAATAAAATATTTACTGATCATCCTTCGATTCACTTTAAGGAACGTTAACTGTAAAGGGGAAAAAGAGGCGACCGGGGGCCTAAGAAATGGGGCTTTTTGGGGGGGAGGTGAAGAGGGCTGTTGTTGTTCTGTTTACGACTTTGCCTCGCTTTTTTTTTTGTTGGAGGACGAATGCCGTGTGCAGTGCAATAGCAGAAAAAACATAACAACAAACAAGAGGAGAGAACCACAACTGCAACAACAACAACTAAGGCACAACGTGCGCAGTGAAAGAAAAAGGCTAAAGAAAATAATGACAATAACAAGGAAAAGAGAAGTCATAACGGAGTAAGGAATAACAGGATACCCATTAGAATCTATAAGTAAAAGCAACAAAATATCATTCTTTGGTAAATTGAAATTTACAAATTAAATAAAATCCGAAAATATATATACAAAATGAATTAATAAATATAAAAAATACCTTCAACAATTTGATATAATTTAAAAGTTTAACCTTTAATAATTTTATATAATATATTATAAATAAATTGTCTTTAGCTTATAGCTTCCCTATTGTTTACTTGTTCATCAAACTTATATACCCTTTGACCCTTTCTTCCTTTTTTTCTAGGGTATGCAAACAACAACAAACACAAGAGGTCGTCGGAACGACGACGACGACTGCAGATAAAACCATGCAACCGGCAAGCAAGGTAACCTGCAAGCCGCAGAACCAAACGAAACCTCTGGCCACCTGCCCCTGCCCCACGTCACCTTGCCTGCCTACCTCCTCCTCTCCCCCCCGCCCCTAGGCAGGTAACCTGATCACCACAAAACAGAAGAAACAGAACGGAGATAGAGGCAAAGCAAGAAGGAGAGCAGGCGAGAATGAGAAGCGGAGCCAGCATATCAGGAGACGCAGTTTCCTCTTTCTTTACTCTCAGGATACACTGTGAAAAATTTGTTAAATTAAATATTTAATTAAATTGAAACATAAAACAATTTTTATAATTATTATCTCTGATAATTCTCTTAAGAACGACATCAATAATCACAATTTTAAAGAAATATAGATCAAAATTCTTTCATTATGTTCCATATTTTCTCCCAGTGTAGTACGTATGCTTGTGGAAATAAAGTGTAGCTAGGCAAGGCAAGGCGGAGGCAAAAGAATAAGAGCAGCGGGCTTAAAAGAAAACGAGAAGAAGCTGAAAGAAACTCAAGAAGAAGCCGAGGAACTGGGAAACGGAGGAGCGACTACGACGGCGACGCGTCACGGAAAACTCGTTAATGCAGGCGAAGATTTCACTTGGACTCCAGACCCACCTAACACACACACACACACATGTCAGCTCCGAGTGTGTGCTGGTGTGCGTTTAACGCATTTTAATCAGCGTGTCGCATAATTACCGGATGCTGTTGAGAGGGGCCCAAAGAGATGGGGCGATGCCGGGGTTAAGGGGAGGGAGAGAGGGAGAGCAGACAAGTGCCCCTCCTTCCCCCTCCTTCTCATCAGCCTCACAGCCGGCGATGCCAAAATAAAAGGGACGACAACGGTGGAAAGGGGGGGGACAGGTTACCTCAACCGAAAAAAAAGGGGGGAATATTCAAAATCATAACAGAAAATGATGGATGAATTGTCGCGCTGCTTGGCTCCAATAAAAATAACTGTAAATGCGCTGCACTTTTCCGAGGGGAGATCGGCCAAATTAAAACGATGCCAGCACGTCGTCGCCCCCCACAAATCAACGCACACATAACGTAAGGGCACTGTAAGAAAATACAGGAGACACTGGACTGAAATATTCACCAAAAATAAGCTGTGTTTTAATACCCTTGAAAGGGTATTTTAATATTTAAAATTAAAAAAATATATGCACATATTTTATATATAATAAAAACTATATAAGAAATATAAAAACATCAATATAATGTCCCTATAATGGACATAGTTTAGGTCCTCGTAATAGTATATCAAGGCCAATCAGTATAGACAATAAGTTTATATACTTTTTTATGTTCTGAAAATCTGAAATTATTATTATTAAAAAAAAACGAATTTAAAATTAATGAAAATATTTGTTTTACTATAAAGAAAATTTCTAAAAAAGGGTAATTATTAATATAAAAGATCTTTAATTGGTTCAGCAAATGTTTTGAAAGGAAAGCTGGCCTCCTTCATTCGCATCTTTTGCATTTATTTATAAAACATCGGAAAAAAACCAGCAGTCTAAACTATCACTAACCTATTGACAAAACAATAAAGGGTTTTAGATGTGATATTGCTTCGTTAAAAAAATCCTCCTTTTTGTCTATTAATTTCTTGCTGTGCACTCACAAAATAATTCTAGTGATCTTCGGTCGAGTCTGCAGTGAAAGTTTCTCTCGACTGCAGCAGCAGAAGCAGCAACACCAACATCAACAGCAACATCAACAACAACATCAACAACAACTACAACAACCGCCGCCGACAACATCTCAGTCTGAATTCGAAGTATTGAAAATATTAATAGAACAAACTTGTTTTGACGGAAATGCACTTTACTTTATTTATCATAGTCCGTCAGTTGGGGATTGGGATTGGGATTGGGATTCATATTCGTATTCGGATCGGGAATGAATGAAGCAACATGTGGAGAGGCGGCAGCAGCCTCTTCCTCTCTCTATTTATGCAGATAGATGGGCGGAAAAGATAAAGTATCTCGGGTAGCACACAACATACACACTCTGCACTGCAGTTGCAAATTGCAATAGAAGCGGAAGGGGGGATCGTTGGCCATGTTGCAATGTTGCTGCTGCAAAGAGGAAAAGGGGGATGTGAAAATGGGGATGAAGATGAGGATCAGATGGGGCCTGGGTAGGGGGTATAGCAAAGGGAATGGGGGTGACAGGTGCGGAGTCTGGCAGTTTTGGGAGTGGAAAGAACCAAATGGCTTTCGGAAACGATCTGCTTTTCCAGGGGAAAATCGTTTTTCTTTTGATTTTCATTGGTATTAAATTTTATAAACTAAAATCAAAATAAAATGTATCTAAAAAACTATTAAGTTACAGCTACATTTAAACATGACTATTATTAAAACTGCCATAAACAAACAAAACTAAAAATCAAGATTACTTAAAAAGTAAACAAAATGTAGCCAACATAAATAATTACATAAATCAATCAAGCAAAACATGACTAAGATGTAATTAAATGATAAATAAACTAACATGAGTGGCTAAACAAAAAGTTAATGAAGATTAATTGAAGGATTAGTAAAGATTAAAAGTAAAAACCTTGAATAGTGCAAGCCAAAATATATCTTGATGTATTTTCGTAAAGTCTCCAAATATTTCACTATGGTTAATTATATTTTAAAAATATTTTTTAATAGCTTAAAAATTGCATACCCTCAGTACACTCAGTTCTAAGTACCCCATAAGCACTTGACATCATCATCATCATCATCATCATCCAAACATTCGAGCTGGGATTTCGGTTGAGCTCTTGCCCCTTCCGCCATCGGGCAACCGAAAAACCATCTGAAGCTTGTCAAGGTTTATTACATTGTAACCACAGAAAACGCTTTAGCTTCGGCTTGAAGCGGCGGCTGTCATGGAATATTAGAAATGCCAGCCAACAACAGCAACTACACACGGGGGCTGAGTGTGGCCCATAGACAAAGTTCAACTAAGGTTGAAACCATTTGTCGGATTAAATACGCGCTGCGGTAATTATGTGCTTCAAGCAGCAGCAACAGCCACAGCAGCAGCAGCACCAGCACCAGCAGGAGCAGCAACAACTACAAGCGAGCAACATCGGCAACATGGCAAACATGTCGAGAATGCGACTCCGAAAGCACCGAAAGCCGTACCGAAACAAGTTTCCAACAACTCCAGCTTTAGCTGGGGCTTTATAGTCGAAGCTATATAGCTTCTCCATAGCTCTATAGCTCTCTATAGAGCACTGGACAACAACGATTACAGCAGAGGCCAGAGGTAGGTCTTGTAGATCGACTATTACATACCTGGTACTTGGGTCTTTCTGAATTTAGATCAGTTTCTTGAAAGTTTCTTTAAATCGTATTTAAACTTAAGGTAAAGTTTTATATGGATATTGTTGAAAGAGAATATTTTAAAGCAAGAACAATCCATTGTGCTTGTGTCTATCTTCTTTCCCTGAGAGTCTCATTAAAAATCCTAATAAATAATTTACACCAAGCGGAAGCACTTCCATCTCTTTGGGTGTTACATCCGCTCGAATGAATACAAATATACCCATGAATACTATGCGTACCAGGTATTACAACAGCGGCAACATGGAGGGACGACGATAAGGCGCTGGCAAAGTGTCAAATGAATTTGTCAGACTCGAACCGAGCCCGAACTCTCGGACATGTTACAGCACTTGGGCATTGGGCCGACAATAAACACAAATTTAATTGTTCAAAAATAAAAAAAAACAGAAAACAGACTGAGGGGGCTGGCGGTGTATTCTCGGAAGGAAAGGGAAAAGGCCAAGGAAATCACGTGCGATCTGCGTCCGTATCACAGGTGCTTCCGTTCCCTCTTCAGAGTTGGGGTTTGGACTTGGTGGAGGAAAGGAGAACCAGAAAACAGGGCTCAGCGGATGTGAGTATTTGTTGTGATTTTTGCACCTGTTGCACCTCAGCAACAGTCAAGGAGCAAACATAAAATAAGCACGGCAAGAAATAAGGAGTGAAAGTAGCCATCAAAAATATTTTTTTTAAGTTTTAAATTTAAGCAAACAAAAGTAGGAAATTGTTGAAAAAATAATGTAATAAAAGAACTTAAAAATGAATATTTTATTTAACAAATGGCTAGAAATGGGTTTCTTAAGTTCTAAAAATAAGCAAACAAAATTTAAGATATTCCTGATAACATATTTTAATATAAAATCTCTTAAAAATTATATATTTTTTATTATTTCAGTGTTTCAGTGTTTGTTTAAAACCAAGAACATTGGACAAGCGTTGCATACAAATACAATACCACAAGCAACTTCCGCCGCCGCAAGGATCACACAGAGGAGGGCCCCCGACCAGACCGAACCTGTTCCCATTCCATTGGACTGCGATGGATGCCGGGATGCGCATTGCGATTCCCCGAAACCTGCCATGAGTTGCCGATTTCGGTTTCAGCGAATCCATAATGATTTCATTGATCTGTCATTCAAGAGCTTCCAGCTTGTCTGCAGTGCGAAAAGTATACGTATCTTGCACTCACTCCTTAGTAGCTATGTGTGTGTGTGTGTCACCGGACATGTGTGCCTGTGCCTGTGCCCGTGGCTGTGGATGAGATTGTGGCAGCATTGCCCAGACCCAACGACACTGATAGCTTATCAACGGCGAGCCGCCGCCGCCGCCGCTTCCTTGCTCATTAGAGAGAGCTGAATAAATCTTCGGTTCTCCGGCGAGATTCAATTCACCTTCAGTGCCAGTCCGAGTGCGACAAGTGACAGCCAGATAGGCGGATGGAAGGAGAAACCTACTAGGCATATCATCAAGAAGAAAATGCCCCATGGAAAATAGGAGGGTAGTGAGAACTCAAACTGGAGGAAGCTGAATGAAGGAGTTTGGGTTTAAAGGGTCTTCTTTTGGCATAAATTCTAAAAATATATTTAATTATTATTTTAAATAAATTTAGAAATTATTTTTAAATCCCAAACTCAACTTATTAATTATCTAGTGATCACTGTACTCACTTGTCCCACACAGATATCTTTAGAACAGATCGAAAAGTTGATTCATTGCGTGCAATGAATGAGAGAGAATCTTCAAAAGAATTCGCCGGAATGGCGATATCGATGGGAAATGGAAAAGTTAGGGGGGAAAGCAGGGAAAAAATAAAAATAAAAAAATGAAAATGCCGTCGTGCATAATAATAGTTTATACGGAAATCTAATGATCAATGGAACATAGCAAGGCACTGCCACTGCTCCTCTGCCTTATCAAACTTCATTCATTAGCAAAACGAACCCGAAAATGCCTCCCCTAAGGGGTGGTAGGTAGGTTTCTCTGGGGGGAGGGGAGGGAATGGGGCACAGGCAGAGAGAAGGAGAAAGAATTGGCAGACTTGCATTGCACGCAATCAGCCAGCTCGTTAAATATAGCACACTTCAATCAGAGGCAGTGCATCTTGCGTCTGCTTATTCGAGTTTGAGTTCAGTGCTGTCGCTGCTTCATTCATTCGATACACAGGGAGAAATTTGTAGAATTTGCATTTAGAAAATATATTGAAACTAAGTTTAAAGAGGCGAGGAATAAGAAATTCCCCCACAAGCTATTTGTGGTTTATTGTATAATTTGTTGGGGCTCTTGAATTATTATCTATTATTTATTTTATTATATTTTCTTTTATCATAATATTTTATATATACATATAGCTAATATAATATATATTTATAAAAAGGTGTACCTAATTTTTTGCAGTGCATTCCCCACTTAAAGTGTGTCAACCGGAGCGAGTTTGAAGCAAAGGCTGATCGGAGGATACTCATAGTCTCGAATCAAGTCTACCCTCCTCTAGTATCTATGCTGACGACGCCGCTGATTACAAGAAAAATAAAATAAATTTAAAAAAAAATATCAAGTTTTATTTTTTCCTGTGTGTACTTTTTGCCTTTGCTGTGTTGTTGTGTTGTGTTTTCTTTTTGCAAGGCCCGTAGTGACCCCGGGAGCAGACCCCGGTCGATCTGCTGGGTTATCACTGGCCAGAAACATGCACCACCACACACTCAGCCCCACACACACACTCTCCACACTCCAGCCTCAGTCTCAGCCTCAGCCTGAGCCCGGGACTCAACTGTTTGTAATTCGCGTTTGAGCGCGCGAATTATGATTGAATAATGAAATGCCCCAATGGGCAGTCAGCAGTCACTAGTCGGCAGTCGGAGCAGTCGCTGCCTTCAATTATGCAAAACGGTTACTGCACTTTGCATTAATTAACAAACGGGGCAAACAAAGCAGCGAAAATCGCACAGAGAGCGCGCGCAGCTGACACAATTTTGCACGTGCTAACTTAACCCATTTTAAACTAAGCCTCCAGGGGGGAAAAAAATAGTAGTACTTCCTACTTAGATTAAAGTCATTGTTCTCTGGCCACTTTTTAAAATTCCAAAAGTGTCAGCTTAATTATTAAAAACTGGGAAATAGGAAAGGCTTTCTATTTACATAATTTAGTTTTGATTAAAATTGCTTTTGGGATTTTATTTTGAATTTTTTTAAATATTTTTAGGTAAATTAAAAAGTGATTTTAATATATGTAAATATTATAAATATTTAATAGGACTTGAGTAGTTATTTTTAATATTATAAATACTATTTTTAGCATAGAAGCTGGCTTAATGTTTATATAAAATAATTATTATTAAAACCATTTATGACTTTGATTTTAGAGACTTTCCGACATTTAAAAATAAATTTTGAAAGTGAAGAAATCATTTCCGACCCTATAAAGTATATATATTCTTGATCAGCAATAACAGGAGCATCGTTCTAGACATGTCCGGAAGAAAAAAATTTTTTGGTCAATTTTTTCAAAATTTGATAAGGGGTTACATCATTAAAATTCTCAAAAATCGACCAAATTCTTAATTTTTTTAATAATTAAATTTAGTATGCAGTTTTGTTAACCTAGAAAAAAATAGCATAGAAAAGCTTTCCGAATTGAATTTGATGCTTTTTTGACTAAGTTATGAATTTTTAAAATTTAGATTTGTCACAAAAATTATCATATTAAAAAATGATGATTATATTTTAATTTTTCTTGAGGAATTAAGATGACAGTGATTACCGAAAGTCATATATAAAATATGAAATATAAAATATAAATAAATATATATATTAAATTAAAAAAATATATTAATTATATATATTAAAATACAGATAGAAGGATATCCATGACTTTACTTAATTTTTAAAAATTTTAAGATGGGTGTTACATCATTATACCTGTCAAAAATGCAAAACTATACTATTTTTAAAAATTTTAACCTAATAAAATCGAACACAGAAATTCATGTAATTATTTTATATATTCAAGGGTATCCAAACTTCGGCTTCCCTAAGCTTAACCTTCCTTTCTTGCTTTTAAAATATTTTCACTGCAATATTTGGGCTTGGAGCAAGCCACAAGCTGGGGCAGAGGAGCAACTAGGACTGTGATCTGGAAATATTTCTCCTACTTCCCTTACAGAGCCAGTGAAAATATTTGCAGTTAAATTTAAATTAAGTACACTCACGGGGCCAGAGTGTGTGTGTGTGTGTGTGTTTATGTGCTTGCAACATTTGATGCGCGCCTTCCGTTGTAAATTTTCATCGTAGGTTGTCGGTGTGCCGCCGCCGCCCGCAATGTTTGTGCAGCAACACACATCAGCAGCAGCAGCAGCAACATTCTGTGTTTTCTGCGTTTTTTCCCCATTTTTTTTTTTAGTTTTTTTTCAGTTTTTAGTAATTTAAAAATAAGTGCGCCGACGGCGGCCCCAAATAGCATCCGCAAAATGCAGCAGAAGCAGAGGCAACATCAGTCGTTCGCTTGCCGCTGGATGCTGGCCCCTGTGTGTGAGTGTGTGTGAGTGTGCGTCTGAGCATCTGTGTGCGCTATGGCAGCCCCAATCCGAATCTGAATCCGAATCCCAATCCGAAGCCGAGCAAGCAAGCAAACTCGGGGCCTCGGTCCCGTCCCGTCCGTGTGTGTGCGCGCGAGATAAACAAACTGCCAGTTCACTATCAATCAAATACCGGAAACAGCTGCTTTAGTTTTGCCATAGCCATTTGGCACACCACTACACAGCCAGAGAGACGCACACTCACACACACACACATGCTGGCAGCAAAAAAAAAATGAAAGAATTAAGATCATTTCAGAGTTGAGGCTGCGGAGATCAATAGGCGGGATATCAGAGAGTTTGATTCCTTTTACATTTTTTAAAATATTTCTAGTTGTATTTTCTATAATTTTAATAATTTTTTATTTTATTTAATTAAGTAATTTGTGTGTAATTATGTTTTTAAAGCGGTTAACAAGGGATTAATATATAAAAAATAAACAGAAGCATTTCAAAACTCTTAGAATGAAAATTAAATTGAAACTTTAGATAAAGTAAAGTTTATTTATTAAAGTTTATTTATTATTTATAATTTCAATATCTATTTGATTTAATTATGATTTTAATTTATTTATTTATAATTTTAGGATTTGTATTATTTAACTTTTAAATAAGAAATATAATTGAGAAGGTAAAGAAAATATATTTTATATTAAGCTAAGCTTGGAAAACAGACTTTAACTTATTTAATGAATTTATTTAGCTGAGAAATAAATAATAATTATTCATCTGGAGGCTTAGTTAATATTTTTAAAATTTAATTTAATTTTTTTTAACTTGAAGAAGCTGAGTTATAAACTATCAAATTAATAAACTTTCAAAATTAAGTTTAAATTTTCAAGGAACTAATCAATTTTATAAGATAAATCAATTTTAATAATTATATTTTTTTTTTTAACTAATTGTGAAAATTTATAGTAAGTACTATTATATTTTAGGAATTTTAACAAAGGTGTAATTAAGATCCTGTATAAGGTTTCCACCTAAATTCTGTTATTTTCAATCGCTAATGATGCTATTTATAATAATAATATAAATAATATGACTAATATATTTTTTTAAATATTTATGAAAATGTATTTAAAGTTCTATTATTTATCAGGAATTTTTAAAAAAGGTGTAGCTAAGATCCAGTTTGTTTTAACCACCTAAATCCATTTATTTTCAATCCAAAGACCCATTAAAACCCAAGAAAAACATACACAAGTTGTCATATTTTTTTAGTATTATATGATTTTTTTTATTTTGTAGTTTTTAACGGAACATACATTCTAAAAACATTACATAAAGTTCTTCTAGGGGGCTGCTCTGCCGCTGCCGCCCTACTCATCCTCATCTCTTCATCGTCCTTTTGCTCAGTTTTATTTTATTATAATGAAATGTACAAATAAAATAAATATTCATTATGCATAGCTTGTATGTATAGAGTGCCTTAAATATTAATTGCGTATCTTTAGCATTATCTTTATCGTTATCTTTATGCGTCGTGTGTATAATTTTTCTCCGTTTTCTCTGTTTTGTAGGTTTTTGCTTGAATTTTTTTTGTCATAGGCTTTAAGGAGGTTTCTTCCATCTTTTAGTTTGTTTTTGTGGGGTTTTTTTGTTTTTCGCTTTTTGTTTTTGCATTTTTGTTTAATAGTTAGGAGTTTTAAGCATAGTTTTCTGGTGTGTATAACTAGGCATATATATATATATATATATGTATAGTTATATATAGTACATATACAGATTATATATATATATATAGTAAAGTGTTTTTAGTGTTTAAGATTAATCTTTAATTTACTTTTTGCTTGCTTCTTGCTTTATGTGTATAAATTTGTTTTAAGTTGCTAATTTGCCACTGTTTTTTGTTTTGTTTTTTTTTATGGATATTCTCTATACAAAAAAAGTTTTGTTTGTTTTGTTTTGTTTGTATTTTTGCTGCATTTCGATTTGGATTTTATATTTTTTACATTTAAGTTTTGCTTTCGTCTATTATTTGGAATTTGCTTGCATTTCGCTCATTTCTCATTATCCTGTTTTTATATATATACAATCTTGGGGCTGGCTTTCGTGGAAAAAGAACAACTATGGACCCGCCCTCGAACCCCTATAAAATACGCTCATAAGAAACTGATTTCGTTTGTATATCCCATATCGTTTCCCCAGTTCTATATCCTTTCTATATATCTTTCTATACCTTTGTAGTTGGTAAAGTAAACTAACTGACTTTTGGTTTGCAGTACATATACATATACATATACATATATATATATCGACGATATCTAAGCACATTTAGACTGGTCTATAGGTTGCTCTCTAAATTTCTCGAAAATCTTTTGGCCATACACACACACACACTCATATATATATATATATTGATTTTTAATTTAAATTCGTAAAGTTCTACAATGTTTTTTTTTTCGTTTTAGTTTTCTTTTTTGTTTTTCTACAACATCAAAAATGGACTGGACTTGGTTTTCATATTTAATATTTGACTAATTTTACGCCATTGAATATTTCTCTAAAAGTTCTCTCGTGTGTGTATATAGGTTACATATACATATACATATATATATATATAGAATCTGGTGTTTTGTTACTCGCTTGCCCCAAATTGTTTGTTCAGTTTTTGTATATATCGAAATTAAAACAAAAAAAAAAAAGGAAACACGGCTTTACTTTGTGTGGAAAATTCATTGGAATTATTTAGTGTACAACTATTTAGTGTTTATAAAATAGAAAATTTGACTTAGAAATTGAACATTGAACTGAAGATATTATATATTATTACAAAATATGCATATTTCGTTGAAGAACTCACAAAAAATAATACAAATAAAAATCCTTCGAAAAATAATTCCTAATCGCGTTCATTTCCACTTCTTGACCTCGTTTTTTTCATTTTTTTAAGCAAAAAATTATTTTTTAAATAACATTTCTAATAATTAATAATTATCTGTTTGCAGTCTTTGGTTATTTAATTTTTCTTTCTTTTCTCTTTTCTTTTTCTCCGTTTTTATATCCTTTTAAAACATATATTAAATAATTTTCTTGTGTGTATATATATATATGGTTATATTTTCACGCCTTTCTCTAGATTCCAGCCTTCGGATTTGTTCTGTTTTCTGTGTGGATTTTCCTCCTTTTTTTCTGTTTTTTGTGTAATGCCGCTTTTCCTCAATGGGGAAAAGCAGCCCCACAAAATGCCTTGCCTTAGTAGTCGGGACTGGAGTCGAGGAGACGCTTCTCCGGCGTGAGGTCACCCTTCCGGAGGATGCGACTCGCCGCACTGCAGCCATGATCGATGGCCTTGCCATTCACCTGGCCGAGCGTCGCCTGACCCCCGCTTACAGGGCCACCGCTGGACAGGCTCACACCGCCCACGCCAACGCCTCCGATCCCATTGCTGCCATTCACGCCCAGCGGGACAATGGGCAGCATACTGCTGGTGGATCCAATCCCATTGCCCACACCCTGGCAGCGGCATCCTCGTCCCGCAAACCTGCCGTAACACTTCTCGCACAGCTTCATGCAGCCCCGCATCGGCCAGTAGAACCACAGGCAGGGCAGGAAGATGGACAGTGCCCCCAGCCAGCCCCATCTTTGCGTCCGCTTGTACGGGCCACAGGAGCAGGGATTGTCCACGCAGGGCGTACCATTGCCATCGTCGCAGTCCAGGTCGTTGTCCCGCGCACAATGATAGAACAGGGCCTTGGCGCAGCACAGACAGGAGGCATAATCGATGACGGACTCGGCGCTGCACAGGCACGTCTTGTTGCACACCCAGGTCTGGGGCAGGGGACGCGGACTCTGGCAGGTCTCGCAACGGCAGCGACCGCAGCGCGGGCACACAATGGGATTAAGCAGCGATGGATCACCGCTCATCACAATGGGGCCACCGGTACCGCCAGATGCTCCACCAGCTCCACCACCGCCGCCACCGCCGAGTAGCTCCTCCAAGGCATGCATATGCTCCTTTTGCGTGGCGGGCGTGGGCTGCTTGGTGATGATCGCTGGCTGGGCCAGGTTCAGATTCAGTCCCAGGCCGAGACCAAGTCTCGCTGGTGCTGCTGCTGGCTGCTGCTGCTGTTGCTGCTTCGAGGCGGGTGGTGTGGTGGATGCTTTGCTGGTTTGCAGGTGCGAATGTAGTAAGCCATCGGTGTGATCGCTGCCAGCGGACGTCGCCTGCGTCGTCGTCGTCGCCAGTCGCGCATGTTGCTGCTGCAGGTGTTGCTGCTGCTGCTGCTGTTGTAGATGCTGTTGCTGCTGCTGTTGCAGGTGCTGCTGCTGCTGCTGATGCTGGTGTAGATGCTGATTCCTCTGCGGCAGCAACAACAAATGGTGGGTGGTGGTCTGGCCATTATCCTGCTGTCCAGCCGGATGCTGCGATCTCGTTGCATGCTGGAGCGGCGTGTCCACATACTCGTTGGTTAGCCGTTCGGACTCGGGTCGAGGTTGCGCCAGCGTGACGGGTGAATTGCCACCGGCGGGCGGCTGGCCCAGAGCGGTCTCAGCGCTTTGGAAATGACTAAGGAAGTTGTTGTTGTTATTATTATTGTTGTTGCCGGTGCCAGTGCTGGTCGGCAAAGGTGCCGGCGGCAGAGGTCTCCTTCGGGTAAAGGATGAACCCGAACCCGAACCGGAACCGGAACCCGATAACGTCGTTGCTGCCGTCGTCGTTGTTGTCGTGGAGCTGGCGGTGCTGCTGTTCCTGCTCAGGCTGCTGGGCCTTTGTGGCAGGAAGGTAAGATGGTGGATTTGGTAGTCGTCAAAGTCCGAGCCGGAAGCGGAAGCGGGTATTATCGATATCGTATTGTTGTTGTTGTTGATGCCGTTGCTGCTGCTGCTGCTGCTAAGGTTGCTCGTTGCGCTAATACTAAGTTGTTGCTGCTGTGAATTATTATTGGTTGCTAGTCCTAGTCCTAGTCCTGGTCCTAGGCCTTGTCCTACTCCTGCTGATCCCGACTCGGCACCACTTAACGTCGGCTCCGGCGCCCTTGGTCGATGCACGCGCGGTAATAGCTTCGGGGGCCGGGGTGGCGCCAAGGGATCGCCGCCATTTCTGCGATCCATGTAGTGTTGTAACCAATTCTCCCCCAGCTACACTCCTCCTCGCTCCTCTCCTCCTCGCGTCCACTCCTCTCCTCTCCACTCCACTTCGCTCCTCCACCTCGAGGATTTCAGGTTTTTTTTGTGTCCTGTCCTCAATGCCTTCGATGATAACTGCTGCGCCCGGATTCAGCTCGATGTGCCTTCATCCTTTTGCAGTGGCCCGCACAGATCCAGACAGCTGCGATTGCTTTCTGCAAGGAAAAACATAAATATAAAGATCATTAGTAATCTTAAAAAATATATATAAAACTAAAAAATATATCAAACTAATGGAACTAATCAAACTTTTCTTAGTTTCTAAAGACTGAAGCTTAGTTTTCCCTCTTCTTTCCTATATTTACCTTTTATTTTTAGTGGGAAAAACCTGGTCTTAAATCTTTTCCTATATTTAGACTTGTATTGGAAAGTGCAAGAAGGCCGCCGCTTTGGGTTGATTTCTGCACCAAAATGGCACGTAGATGGGTTTCCCCTTCTTAAACGCTAAATAAATAAGCGGGAAAGAGCAGAAAATAGTTTGGCACGAGGTCGTGCCTCTGGGTCCAAAGTGCTCAACATGGAGAGAGGGATGGAGGAGGGATCAGGGGTAACCCCGTGCTCGCTGGTACTCGTTCCAGAGCCAGCGATGCGATGCTTTTGTTTGGATTAAATGGCCAGAAGTGAACTTTTCTGGTTGCCGGGCCCGCTTTTAAATACTTTTTTCGTTTTTTTTTTTTTGTTGTTTTTCCTCTCACATTTTAATGTTTGTAATTAATTCCGCGGCTAGAGGAGAGCTCTCTGTAGCTAGAGAGCCGCGAAAATTGGTCAACGCCCAGCAGAAGGTCGTCGTCGTCGCACAGATAAAGACATATACATGAGGTTTTTTGTTTTTTTCGGCTTGACTTTAATGTAAACATCACAAGTTTCTTCTATTTTTTTTTATGATTATTATTATTTTGGTTTATAATGTTTGTTGGAGTTCACTTGAAGCCAAGGGACGGGTTGGTTTTCTAGGGAAACTGGGCTTGGGGCTTGCCTTGGCAAAGTTAAAGATCAAATTGGGGTTTTAAATCTAAAAAAAAAAATATTAAAATTATAAAATTCAAATACAAACAAATCTGCCGACTTTGTTAACCCCCATTATCTGGCATAATTGCTTTCACCCCGCCTATCTCTCTCTCTCACACAAATCGTTTATTTCCGCTCCGCCATAAAAATATATATTATATTGTCTACATAATTGTTTCATTTCATTTAAAAAGAAATTAGCAGCCCCTTGCTTGAATACAGATTAATATATTTTTTATATAGATGGCAGACTGAAGAATCTGAGACTTGAAGAATGAAAAATATTGAACTTTGACTGGGGGGACTGCTGGGATGATGATCTTGGTAATTATGGCACCATTTTTATGGCAAAACAACTGTATTTTCTTTATGGCATGTTTTTTTTTCAGATTTATGGCTGCAGCCGAGTTAATCTTGTTTCCAGTGGTCAACGCGGCGTATGAGTAATGCGATGCCCTGGCTTTCCCTTGCCCCAAGTATGGCGGCATTTTAGATAAATGTTTGTTTACACATAATTAAAGAACAGGCCGGGCTAGGCTCTGAGCAAATAAGGAAATACAGGAAATTAATAAATGGCATTGCCATAAAAAATTAATAAAAGAGCAGAGCAAAACGAATTATTATTATTATTATTATTGTGCCGCATAAAAATTGTTTTTAGCGCCAAACGAAAATTTCGTATAAATACAACTACGTTCTGTATTTCTCCTATATATATGTATATATATACACGATTAAACAGAGAGAGCTATATAGGTATTTTGGCCGAGTGCGAGTGGGTTAAGTGTGTGTTTCTCGGGGGGTATAAAAATTAACACAAACGCCCACTTATTGACGTCATGTCCGGTACTCAAAAACAATTTTCGAGAATGATCACAATTGAGAAAAACAAAATAGAAAATCAACGAAAACACACGTTGGTCTTGGCGGGTCTCTAGGGGAGGAGGCTGAGGAGGACCTGGGGGGATTGCCAGCAGCAGATCGCCACTGATTGCCAATGAGAAAAATTTAACAAAAAAATCATGCTTCTCCTTTTGAGATATTTGGCAATCTTTGAGATTTTCGAGGGAAGCTGTAAGCGTCATTTATATAGCAACAAAAAGTAAACTATTATTGGGTGATTTTTTAAAGAATGAATTATCTGAGGCAAAGGCTTTGATGTTGAATAATAAATTAAATATATATTTTATATATTTTTATAAATATATATTAAATTACTAAATAAACTCTATTTCCTTTTGAAATTATCTCCAAATTAAATATATATTTGAAATATTTAAAATAAATATTTCTTTTTATATTTTTATTTAATAAATATTTAATTTATATATTTTTTAAATTTCTAACTACATTGTAGTTCTTCTTTAAATTATCTCTAAATTATATATATATTTTTTCTTTCACCCCATAAAATCCCCATTAAAAGGTGTAACTGTTGGCCATAAAAAACATATTTAAATTGCCTCATAAATTGCTGAAGAAATATCCCGATATAGATGTGTTTAAAAAATAAATAAACATAATTCAGTTTCAGTTTTTTTCCCCAAGTAATGCCAAGATTTCGATTTCATTCTTAAATTAATTGGGCACAGATAGAATACAACAACAAAAGACGTAATTTGAAAGCGATTTTGTTGTGTTTTTGTTTTTCTCGCTTATTTTTAATTGCGCTAAAATTCTTTTTTCGCCGGCAAACTTTGACCTTGGCGCAGCCGCTTGAATAAAAAATAAGTAAAATAAATTATTTCGCTTTGGCAACACACACATTCACTCACTCGTGTGTGATTCAATGGCGCACGAAATGTGAAATGTGGCATTTGAAGCGTTTTCATTAATAAGTGTGTGAGTGGTGGGTTTTTGTCCCCTAAAAAAAACACACAAAAAATCGAAAATAAAAAAGAAAACCAAAGAAAAAAAGCGTTGTGGCTTTGGCTAATTCATTCAAACGAATGAACGAACGATTCGCCTTTGTGGGTTTGCGTTTGTTTGTTTGCTTGTTTGCACAAACAAGTGTCACTGCCAGTTGCGATTTAAATAAAATTATTTAAGGCAGACAGAGACAGACGCCAAAGCGAAGCGTTTTTTTTTTTTTTTGTATACAAAAATAAACTCTGGGCAAAAATCAAATGCAAACAGGTTTTATTTCTTTTTTCAACCTGCCATTCTGGTTAATAATGCTTTTTATTTCATTTTATTTTTTGCCCGTTTACCGTTTTCAATTGTCAAATGAATTAAATAAAAGTTATGGCCCAGCATATGACCCAATTAAATTGTTAATCACAAGTAATGGAAGATAAATAAAGGGCTTCAGGGGAATCACCAATTTTTAGTTTATTAAAATTATGGTTATTTTTGGAAAGCAACCATGATTAAGCTTATTAAAAATATTTAAAATATTAAATATATAATATTCTAAATCCTCATGGTGTAACCTACTTCACCTTAATTTTTTAAATTCTGTTTGTAGTTTAGTGCTGAGCTCGTTTTATTCTTTGGCTTTTCTTAATGCCTTTTTTTTTTTTTTTTTTTGGTTCTGTCAGCAGTACTACTATATAGTCGGTATCATGTCTGGAGTTCGTGCTTTAAAATTAATGATGTGTAAAAAGTATTTCAGCCATATATATATTTTTTGTTTGTTTTAATTTATCAAGTTTTTTGCTCTCATTAAGAACGATTATGTGTCAAGTTCTGGCCGAGCAATACATTTTAGTCATTTATAGGTACGTATTTTTTGTATTTTTGCAGAAAAAATATAAAGAGCTAGCAGTTTTTAGCTTATCAAAAATTCTTAAATATTTTGTGAGATTTTAAAAGATTTCTTTATTATCATTTTGAGAAATTATGGGATTTTCCAGGACTAGAAATTGTATTTTATATAAAAAAGTTTAGAAAATGTTTATAATTATATTTAAAATTTAAGCATTTTTAATTAAAATATTTTCTAAAAGTTTTAGGATTTAAAGTTACATTTATCAATTGAAATATTCAATGAAAATATTGAAACTTTCAATTTTTTAGAGCAATTTTATTGGGTTAATTTTGTATCTCGTTTTTGAAAAGCTAGTTTTAAATTTTAAAAATTTTTTCAAGTCACTTTTTCGCTAATTTTAAGAACCCATCTTTCCTAAAAAATATAATTTTTTAAAACTCTGCTAAAAATATGTGCGGATATACACACACTGCAAAGGCAGCCTCCGACACACATGAGTAGATAAATAAAATGCGGAGAGCGACAGATGAAAAACCTACACAGGAAACGCTAATGACTGCAGGCAAACTCAACTCGGGGGAAAAAAAAGAAAACAACAACAGCAGCAGAAAGTCGAGAACGGGAACGGGATTCGTTTTGAGGCTGATGTTGGGATGCTGCTGCTGATGTTGCTGCCACGAAACCAACACCAAGAAACAGAGTCACAGAGCACAGATCATTAAACTATTTAAATGCCCAACCGACCATATGTTGCAGGCACAGCAGCAGCAGCAGCAACATCAGCAACATCAGCAGCAGCAACAACAACAGCTAATAGTTTTCAAAGCAAATGAGCAGCACATGTGGCAAAGGGCTCACGCACACTCTCAATGAGCCCGAGTGTGTGTTAATGAAAGCGCACAAACACACACACAGCTGCCTAAAAACACAAGAATACACTAAGAAAATTTATTGGAAATTAAAAAATATATAAGAGCAAGGTGATGTTTTTATTAAAATTAAAAGTTTGGGGTTTTGAGTTTTAAAAAAATCTATTTAATTTAATATATTTCTTTTCTTGATCAGCATCAAGCTGATTTCGCCTTGTCCCTGTTTGATTATTTTACTAATAATTATTTATAAAAGTTTCTTGAGTTTAGTTTTTGATTTTTAAAATAAAATATAAAATTAAAGAAATATAAAATACATATATTCTTTAGTAGCATCAACAGCTTAGCAGATCTAGCCACAAGTTTCTACCTTTTTCTTGCAATTTCTGCCACTTGTTGGGCTTTTTATTTCTACTAATATTTCTTTTGAAAACTATCCGAAATCTACAAGCTAGACTCTTTCTTTTCAGTGCACTTATATCTCATGGATTCTCCTTTGCCAAGTCAAACTGAATGATAATTATCATAATGATGATTATGTTCATTCTTGTGTCTGGAATGGTTCAGT